TCTGGGCCCTAATGTCCAGTCCAGGCTGGAGCCCCTCCCAGCTGTCGGCCTGCAGCGCCACCTCGTGGTCGAGGCTCACAGACACTGGTCGTCCACCTGTGATCCACGCCAGGGGGCCACCTGCCCCACCAGCAGGCTTCCCTGGGCACCTGGGGCACCAAACGCCAGTCGTCCCTCCAGCCCTCTCCCTTCACAGTGACCTCACTCATGTTTCAGGGACTCCAGAGCCACTTGGTCCAGGAAGCCTCTCCAAACTGCTCCGGGTTCAGTGGTCACCCCTGCCTCCAGGCACTCACTGGGTGTCACTGTTTTCCCTCCAGGGTCCTAAGCTCTGCAGTCAGAAAGATCTAGCACCCAACGCCAGAGGGCACTTACCAGCTGTGTGACCTGCGCTAGTTACTTAACCTCTCTGAGCCAGAGGTTCCTAATGTGAAGCAGAGGCGGCATTTCTAGTCTCATGGAGTTGCGAAGAGGACAAAGTCAGATCGAGTCTGTAAAGGCCAAGAATACAGCAGGGCCGGCAACAGGCGCTCAGGAAATGGCAAGTCCCTTCCCACCCCTCCCTCCGACTTCCTCTTCCCTTTCCTAAAAACGACAGCACGATGGGACAGAAAGCATAAGAGACTCACAGGGCCTGGGTTCTCCTCTGTAAAATGAGGCCATTAGGGGTGCCTGGGGGGCTCAGTCGGTTGAGCGTCTGCCTTCGGCTCCGGTCATGGTCATGGTCCCAGGGTCCTGGGATCGAGCCCCACGTCAGGCTCCCTGCTTCTCCCTCTCCCTCCACTCCTCTCCTGGCTCACGCTCTCTCTCTCTCTAGCTCAACTCTCTCAAATAAAAATCTTTTAAAAGTATATTAAATTAAATAAAAATAAACTTTAAAAATGAAGTGGGGCCGTTAGATAACTGATGAACGTGTTCTAATGCTCATTCATTCATTCAACTTCTGTTTCCCCGAGGACACTCTCTGCGAGCAGCACGTGGTTTGTATCTGCTAATTCGCCTGGGGCGGGCTGTGTCTCGAGGGTCAGTATCCCCTTCAGTTTCTAGCTCAGCACCTGGCACAGAGAGGGCGCTGGAAAAGTCCCCTCTCGATGACCCGGCAAGGGCATGTTTACGGCCTTCACCTCCCTGCCCCGAGAGAGCACCCAGCCCAGGCTGGCACCACGTGCCCTCCCCCTCCCCAGCCCGAAACCAGAGCCGGCCCCACTGGGTGAGGAATCTGGGAACCAACTGTCACAGCTCCAGTATCACCCGCCTCCCGGACGCCGGGGTCCAGCCCTGAGTCCCGGAGAGGCCCTGTCAGCCAGCTGTCCTGGGGAACCCTGGCTCCCCCCCATCCCCTCTGAGCCACTCTCCCTAGGGAAATAAGAGAGCAGGGGACCTGCTGGGGGTGGGGTGCTGGAGTGGGCCCAGGGGGAGGGCAGTGGCTTCTGTCCAGGTCCAAACCTCAGACTGGGCTTCAGAGCCCTTGGAGACTGGTCCAGAACAGCGGGAGGACCTGTAGTGGCCTCCTTGCTCCTCTGCCTCTGTAGCCCTCTGAGTCCCAAAGACCGTTTGCCCCCCACACCTAATCTTTGGCCACATTCTCTGGGTCACATAGGCTAGTTTCTGTGGCTTGCTTCAGGCAGAGATCAAACCTGATCTTTCTTTTGTGTGTCCTACAGAATTTTACTTAATACATCCTCATTGAAATTAATGAGCTCGCGTGTTCCACCAACCGAGAGCAAATGGGCTGCCGTCTTGGCAGGAGACAAGGTGCTTGACAGCACGGTGGACTTCCCCCGGGGAGGGGTATTCAGACAAGGAAAGGGAGACCCTGTAACACATAGGAGAGGAGCCCCTCCGTCCTCGCCTCAGATACATGGAGCGGAGAGGGGGACGCTAGGATGCCCTCCATTAGGGCCCACCAGCTCTGTGGGGCAGCCTTGACGACAGCCTCCTGTGTCCCCTCCCTCCCTAGGGGCTCTAAGAATAGCACACAGGAGGGGCAGGTGATAGATGTGTGCCCCATCCCTTGGTGCTTGCAGAGGTGACGATAAAAGGTTGGCGCAGAAAAGAGAAGGGACTCAGCTCCACACCCAGACAAGCACGGCCGGAATCACTCACCCGGTTCCTGACCCACAGCCCCCATACGAGCCCTGGGCTCTGTGTTCACACGTGTGGGCATGCGGACACCCACGCGTGCACCCAGACACACCTGCACACAGACACACGCTGCACCGGCAGCCAGCGCAACAACTCCACGGGGTCCTTTGTTCCTCGGGCCCAAGGCTAGGGAGGCTGGCCCGCGCGTGCTCTCGCGCGCCAGAGCCCCAGAGTTTGCCTGCATTCCAGGACTCACGGCAATTATTTCTGGAATTCTGTGCTGGTGGTTTGGGATCATCTCTTCCCTGCAAGGCCAGATCTAGAACTGGCTCCAGGGGACCCAGGGTGGGTCGGAGTCTCCTGCAGCGCCTCGCACACCCGAGTTAGCTGGGAGGATGAAGGGATGAAAATGAATCATCGAGGACCGCAATCCCGCTAAAGGCGCGCGCGCAAGGGGCGGGCAGCCGGGCGGAGGAGCACTAACAACGACCGAAGGCCCAGGAGGAGCCAAGCACTGTTCTGGGACTTATTTTTCCATTTCAGAGATGAGGAAATGAAGGCTCAGCCGGAAATGATGGCCCGAGGGGCAGAAGAAGCGAGTGGCCTGTGTGCCCCCTGGTTCTGCCTCGAATGTGCGGTTTAGTCAACACGCCCTCCTTAAGCTTCGGCCCTGGGCAGTGCTGGGGGCCGGGCACTGGGGGGGCCAGGGCGGGGGATGGGGTGGGGAACGATGACAAAGAGGAAAGAGAGGCTTGTGCTCCAAGGCCCTGAAGTGGAAGGATCGGCCGTGCACACACCTTTCTGGCCAGAAGGCAGATGGTGAGGGGTGGAGTAGGGTGGGCGTAATCGTCTCTTTCCAAGCAAAACGGCTCAAGGAAGGGCCTGGGCCTTAATTCTGGATCAGGCCTGCAGACAGGAGGAGGAAGAGGAGGGCCGGTGCGCAGAAACCTAGCTTGGCCAACACAAGTGTCAGCGGAAGAGGGGAGCCCCCTGAACAAAGGAGGACATCAGCCTGCGGGACAGCCGGAGAAGGGCTCATGGAACTGTCCCAAGGAACCTGGCTCCTAGGACCCCGCCCCTGGGCTCCTCTGCCGCCTGGGCAGCCTGGCTGTCCCCACCCTGGGTGGACATGCCCCAAACAGTCTACAGGCAGGTATGCCCCCATGCCACAGGTCCACGTGCGCTCACACCCCCATAGCCTGTCCTCCAGCCGCACGCCTTCACTTCTGCCTCTCCTAGCCTCCGGTATGGGTCTGGCGCCTCAGCGGGACCCCGAGGATGGACGCGGGGTGCATGAATACATCCAAGGGGCTGATTCCTCTTTGTTGGCTGTGTGAGGTGGGCCCAGCAGGGACCTCCGCCTCCCCTACCCCGCTCCTTAATCTACCCCTTCCCGTTCAGCAGCTGTCCCCCTCCCCACTCACACACACTTGTTTCTGTCCTTTGTTTTCCACCCTGGCCAAATCCCCAAGGCTTCTTTGGTCATTAACCTCCTGCTTTAATTAGCTTAGTAAAGAGGAAGGGGGAAGCAGGGCAAATTCAGGGCTGGGTGTCAAGGGGGAATCTTGTTTCGGTGGGGACAGGAAGGCTCAGACCAGCTGGTAACAAAAATGCCTGGCTCACAGTAAGTCCCATGGAGCTGGCTGCTATTTCCCTTAAGGTGAAAACCAGTCACCTGGGCCGCAGAGTAGGAGCCCCCCCTCCCCGTGAGAGCCCCCAGTCCCCAGGGGCACAGGTTCCCCAATCCCTGTTCCTGGGGCAGAGGGACCAGGGACAAGAACCCACCTCTCCACCCCCTCTCCCACTCAAGCCATAAAGCTTGTTAATGTTACGTGACCTCCCCCATCCAGGGGGAACCCCTGCCCAACACTGGGGCCCTCCAGGGGCTTCTAGCAGGCTCCCCTCCTCTAGACCTTCCGCTGAGCTGAGCGGGAGTGGGAGCCCAGCAGGGTGCCAACCCCTCCTGAGACCCTCCAGGGTCCCCATCCTCTCCACAGTGCTCATACCCACTCTTCCCAAGAACCCGCTTAGTGAGCTGGGCTGCACAGCTGGCCCTCGTGGCCTCACAGTGCGGCCTCTGTGAGGCCACCACCTCCTTGGCTCCCTGCCTCCAGGCAGGACTCTACCTCACAAACCAGTTCAGATGTTTGGTTTCCAAGGCACCCCAGAAAAGGACACCTTGCCACGGGAGGCTCACCCACCCATTCCCAAACAGTTATTTTGGGAAATTCTCCTTAAAGCCCAGCCTCCAGGCCTCAAGCTGCAGCGTCTTCTTCCGTGGTCTCGGAGACCCCGCATGAGAAGGGCGACAAAAGAGAGGCTGGAGGTCCGGGGGACGGGAAGGAGGGGAGGAGACACCGCATCACACTCTGACTTCCCCAACTCCCTCCAGAAGTACCCTACAGTCCAGTTCATGCCTCAAAAACTTATTTTTTACTTTCACCAAATGTCCAGAGTCAAAGGAGCTGCAGTAATGGGTTTTCAGTGGGGCGGGGGGGGGGGGGGGG